AGCTGGGGTGGGGTAGGAGTCAGCACTTCTTGGTGCTATTCCTAGTTCTCAGAGAAGAATTTAGTCTGTGTCTTGGTTTATTTCCTTGTTTCATTGTAGTTGTTAAACCTCTTGTCACGGCAGGGTCCTCTAGGAGGGCCGTGATCCCCTTGAGGTCCCTCGCTCCATGTCAAGGCTGGCCCAAGGCACCCCCTTATTCTTGCCCGCCACGTCTTTGATGTTTGTATATAGTTGGGAGGCTGCCTACGACTCCCTGGGCACGGCTACTCGGGACCTCTGTTCCCGTGTGTTCCTGGACCCCCCTGGGGGTCTCCCAGTGTAATGGGTGCTTCCCAGGCACCCTAGCCTTATGGGCTACGCATGGCTCCTACCACCCCTAATACCACGCCCCAAGCCTCGCCGATGGGATAGACGTTGTCCGGTCACCATAAACATATGCCCACTCTCTGGACCTTCTCCATATACTTGCCTGCTCTCTCTCTCTCTCTCGGGCCTTCTCTAACATGTCGCCCCTCCCGGGGTCCTCGGTGTGCCCCCTCCGGGCTCTCTCTCTCTAAAATATCATCCCTCCTTGGGACTCTTGTCCACTCTGGGACTTCCTATCGGGTCCTACGGTCTCCAAGGCCCACCGCACTGCTTCCCCCTTTTCTGGGCGCTGTGCCGCTATCCCCTTTTCTCGGGGACCACCGCAGCACCCTGTCCCTCGGGCTTATCGCGCTGCTATCCACCTTTGCCGGGGACCACTGCAGCACCCTGCCCCTGTCCTGGGTTTCCCTGCAGTGCAGGCCTGTTACCGGGTCTACTACGCCTGTCTCGGGCCCCTCAATAATACCGCCCCCTCTCCGGGGCTCGCTGTGCCCCGCTGGGCTCTTCAATAATACCGCCCCCTGTTTGGGGCTCTGTACCCAGCCTGGGCTCTTAAAAGTGCCCCTCCTTGGGGCTGGGGTCTATGCACCCCACAAGTGACGCCCTTGCTGGCGTCTGCTGCGCCCATCCTGGACTTCCTAATATGGCGCTCCCCCTCTTCGGGGCTTGCCATGCCCACCTTGGGCTTCTCAATAGTCCCCCCCTTTCTCAGGGACTCATTGGGCCCACGCTGGGCTCCTCTGGAGTGCGCTCCCCCTTTCTGGGGCTTGCCACATTTACGCTAGGGCTCCCTAGCAGTGCCCCCTTCTGGGGCTCGTCATGCCTGTGCTGGGGCTTCTCAAAGCCGCCCCTCTCCGGGGCTGGGGTCTACGTACTCCATACACAATCCAGGGTCTCTGTTCCCCACCCGCAACCCACTGGTTGCGCTCCTCACCGCCAGTTGCGCCTTCACTGGCACCGGGGTTCTCACACTCTGTGAGCCCCCTATGAGTACCGCGCCCTCACTGGCACTAGGGCACCCCACCCCTATGGGGTCCCTATGAGGCCTCCTCCAACCCCTATAGCCTCACCCAAACCACCGGTGTAATAACAAAGCCTGAACACAAACATAAACTCGAGCCTCCTGGCTATAACTCAAACATAACACTCTCTGGCTGTAACAACTTAACTCCAAGCCACCAGGCTAAACCATAGTGCTCAATCCTCTCAGGGCTGCCATCCTTCACCCAGCTAGAGCAGTTCCTGTGATTCTCACCTCCGAGCTCCTGCCCTTCCAGCTGCTGGCAGAGAACTGCTAGCCTGGCCTTAGCCCTGGGCTTTATGGGGGCCAGGCCCTTTGCCCTACAGGCAGCTGGCTCCCCTTAGTTGCTCCGGCAACCCACAGCTGCACTTGTTACCCTGGCAACCCTCAGCTGGGCTCCTTATGACCTGCCAGGGCTCTCTCTCTCTCCCTGGCAGTTTCTCCTCTCTAGGAGCAGGCACCGAGGTGCCCTGCGACACCTCGATTTTATATGTTAAAACAGGGGCTTCCTATTCCTGATGAGAAATTTCAGAGGCATGAGGCCATTTGGAAAAGCTGGCCTGCTATTAAAATGTCAGAGATGTTACAAGAAAAAAGTTCCATTTTCAGTATTGATCCTCAAAATGTTATGCCATGATATATTTTCCCCAGTTCTAAGTTTTTTCAGTGTTTTTTTGTTTGTTTGTTTGTTAGATTACTTGGCCAATTTGATTTTGATTCAGAAAGTCAAGGGGGCACCAGGATGGCATGGTTCCTACTGGCTTATCCTGAGGAGCAAGGGGCAACAACTGTCTCTAGTTTGGCCCAGATTCTGAAATCAACTCATATTTAAATGCAAACAGTCCCTCCTTGCTCTACTGCTTCATGTTGAGAGGAAATGTATCACCAGAAGCATGTTGATCTGCCAGAAAACAGGAAAATATGTAGGAAATAAGTGACAAATAATAAAAATTATATATACAAACAGGAAAAAGAAGCTTTCATGTATCAAATGCAAGTAACAGGCCCATCTACCCTAGTTTCCTGCTCACCAGCTCCGTGCCTGTCAACCAGCATTCAGCTCAAAGGCTCCAGTGCCTGGTTTTGGACCCAGCTCAAGGTTTGTAGTTAGTGCTCAGGAGGTGGCGCTAGCTTCCAAGGCATGCATCAAGGGAAGAAATGAGGAAGTCAACAATAAAAACTTGTGTTGTTAGAGGCTGCCATGCTTCAGAGACAGGACAGGGTCTCCATAGAGGGTACAGGGAGTATGTGGAGGGGTTAAGTGTGCTGTGACACTGCAAGGCGTAGGGCTCTGTAGGGAGGACAGAGCTAGAAGGAAGGATCAGGGCCAGACAGGCATGGGCAAACCAGGAGGCCACCTGGGGCCCAGACAGAAAGGGGTCCCGAAAATGGTAATTCTTTTTTTCTGTTGTCCGATTATTATTATCATTATCTCTGGCGAAGCAGGGCTCAACACTAAAAGTTCACCCCAAGCTGGTAGGAATCTAGGTTCGGTGCTGGGCAGGATGTAGGGTCTCAGGAAGGGGCACTGTGCTGTGAGGAAGGGGGTCAAGCCAGAGATGCTGGGACTGAATAGGGGGCTTGATGGGGTATATGACTCTGTAGAGAGTAGGTCAGGGGGTTCAGACGTGCCC